CACCTGTGGTTTATGCTGCAACTATGCTGAACAGAGCTTAGTTACAGTTTCTAGGAAATAGCGTCTTATCTAGCGTGATCAACAATTTAAACACTATCGATGGGCCCAATTTCATTCATAAGGCTTGGGCCAACCCGTGGTATGAATTTCAGGTACGTTCCAAAGTTGGCGCACACTGGGATCGATCCCTGCAATCCGATAACATCAGGAAGTTTCCTTCCTGACAAATCGACTATGGTGAGATTCGAACCCGGGTCTCATGGTCAGAATGCGAATGTTCTAAAAACTTGGACAGAAATAAGATATTTACTTTGAATTTGTTATTCTAAAAAAAAATACCAACAATCTCCATTCTTAGTCTTTCCTAAGTCGCGGCATTATCACGTTGAAATACCTGTTCTTCTACGATCATCAAAGTTAAGCAACGTCGTGCCTGGGAAATCACTTGTGAATACCAGGTGCTGTAAGCTTGGAGGTACGGGTATTTTAGTGGATAATGACACGGAATCTTTTGGGGAAAACAAATAATTGAGACTGAATTTTTTTATTCTTCGTTTTTCAATAACCATCAAGAGGTTGATAAGCTGTAAATAAACAAATCATTCAATCAACCGACATTCAGCCTTATTCATTTTTGACTGGTTTTATTTCCATTTTACCAAAGATCCAATGAGTTTGTGCGGAAAAGGGTTGAATGTTTTGTGAGATACCAGAAACATATTCTTGCCACAGTCAAACGGAGAAAAATGGCGTGGTTTGGAGACATTACAAGGCACCGTTGAATGTGGACGTAGAAGACGCCAACGCAAAAAAAACTGGTTGAACAATATCAAATAATGGACAGATATGACTGTACCAGAATTGCTGAGGGCTGCCGTTGTTAGACCCTTGTAGAAAAGATTTAGTGTGGCTTCTGCATTCGGATCCGTCCTACGATTACAAAAGTTAATGGGATGATGATATTTTCCTCTTATGTTTGCTTTTTTTAGTTGCAATGCACGGGTGGAATGCGAATTGAAACCTATCACCATTAGGATTTTGAGTTTTGCGCATCCATTATTTTTAGACCTTTGTCTCAGTTGGACATCACCTGATTAAGAAAGTTAAGTGGCAGCCGTTATTCACATTTAATCATACATCTGCGTTATTCCTGATCCGCTTTTTACTCTACTAAATATTGTTTATTTGTACGAATCACTGTAAGTATTTAGAGCTCAACAGAATGTGTTCCGAAGTAGAAACGAAACACCGAGGAATATAGTCGCTCGACAGGATTCATAAAATCAAAAAATGTAACGTTTATAAAAGAAACAGAATAAATAATGTAAAGATTGAACGAATGAGTTGTAGAATTTATTCATGTATAAAAGAAAGTCACTCTGATGACAACAGAAGCACCTTATTAAAAAAGGTAACAAAAAAACAAAAAATAAAAAAAAAAACAAAAAAACATGGAATTTGTTGTGTGATGTACCCTGGCTATTAATAATTAAGTATAACTCAAGCCTTCCATGTTAAGATAAAACAGTATTTAATTACATCCGCAAATAAATACTTAACAAGAACAAAGAAATAAAACTTAACCAAAGATAGTTACCAATTTAAGTTGTAATGTAATGTTAGTAATGCTGATCGGCTTAACGTCCGGTAAATCCTAAATCGAAACACAAATCATCGACGCAAAATAATTCACACTAATTCGACTGGATAGTTCCATTCCGCTCAATAATCATTGCAGTCAGTAACCTGACACCGCTATTTATACACCTGGCGGAAAACGTAAGTCCAGAGTGTCACGCTCGAACCTCGGTGTCGGTAGTTAATCATTTTCTTCCTCTATGGCAATTTGCAATATTAAAATCTGAGGTAAGTTGAAGAAAAACAGAACAGGACCAGATGGCATTGCAATAGTCATGTCAGTTATAGACAACCTAAAAATCGATTAGGTAACTGAATTAATAAAATTAATAAACGGCAATAGTAGTATAGCTGAAAACCTTAGTAAATCAATATTTATAACGATGATGTGATTTTATAAGCGTAGCTTAGATGTGGCACAAGGCCGAAGTATTTGTAACGATGATCTAGTGGCCAGACGTAAATGTAACCGTAAGTTATATTCTAATAGATTTTGTTTCTTCACTCTTCCGGTTTTTTTCTTCCCTGTCAATTACGATTTTCACAACATTAAATGCCACGTCAATCGTCATCTTCTGTCTTCCTGAACCCTTTTTTTTTATTGTTATTACACCTAACTAACGTTTTCTCATTTTCTTTCACCCTCAGTAACATTAGTGGCATTGTCACCTTGCTTGGGATGAAATTATTTAAAAAATATCTACAATATTTCAGGATAGATAAGACACACCGGTTTAGTTTTGGTTTCCTTGTAAATAAATCTTCCTGTTTTAATACTTAGTTTATTTTCTGAAAAATTTCTTTCGCTTTTCTGATGTACACTCTTTCCGTCGTCTGTTAATACACTAACCAGATATTTACTATTAAAGCGAATACATACCTCTGTATATATTTAATTATAATGTCTGACGACTATATATTATGTATTCTTAATAGCTTGTCCTTTCTTCTCGCTTCCTATTGTTATAATGTCTTAAAGATTATTCAGTTTTCGTTGTGAGTTTCCCGTCATCAGAATTGCCATTAACGTGTCTTATGTTAAAATGATAGACGCAGATAGTAAATTTTGTTATGTCTTCTAATTATTTCTGGATCGTCCTGCTGTTAAATAAATCTTTATATCATATAGAAGTGAAATGAAGAACGGGGAATGAAGGCTTCTTAGCAGTTGTTCTCGAAGGAAATATACATTCTACGACCGGAAGTAGAAAGTACAGGAAAAAAGATTAACGCGATACATATTTTTTTTCTAATTTATTTATTTTTTTATCTCTTAATCCTTATTTGATGGAAAACAACTTTCACTATTCTGTGACACCTTCGGAAAACTGCGTCCCAATTCTGCCGTCTGATAGTTAAATTTCTCTACCTGCCTTATTCTGATGGCGTGTGGATTTACGGCTGATGTACTGGATAGTGAACAGGAACGATAAATTGGAGAGCCGAATTCGAATTCCAGTCGGATTCGTGCATTCAATTACATATAAATACACTTAAAAAAAGGTATAAATCTGATGTAATTAATATGCATACACCTGGGCTACCCATCACCGTAATATGATTGGCTGGTGTCAGCCATAAATACAGACTGGGACTACACCTATTGCCTACCACTACGACGAGGACCAGTCCGTTACGGTTACCTGCTAGATTGTCCTACCCGGTTAAATTAGTCAACAACCACTTTGTTACTTCGAACAAATATATCCCTTTCCGGGACATATCAAAATCCATATCCCTCACTAAACTATGGGTTAAATAGCTGGATTTTTTTCTGAAAAAAATATTATTCTCATTAAAAAAATATTAATAAAGACATACTCACTCATAAAAAAAAGAATTATTCAATCAATTCAAATTATGTTTTGGTTTTAAATAACCTACAAATTTTTGGTAAATCATAAAAATGATATCAGTCAATATTCTCGTGTCTTCAGTGGGCAGCTCACTTATTTTATTGGACTTCTTATTGACGATCCTATGATGTGTCTTCACATAGGTAGTCCTTTCTTCTTCCTTTCTTCTTTTATTATTAGGTTGGTGCAAAAATAATGACGTAATGATGTCGTTTTTTGACGTTAAAAAATACGTCCAAAAACGACATTATTACGTCATTATTTTTGCACCACCCTAATACCTTGCCTGCTGGACGAGTTCGTTATAAGCACAGTGTCAACAGATCAGTATCTTAATATTATGTTAATTTTGTGTCCGCTTGTTATAAATCCTGGTAAATTTTCTAGTTATCTGAATATTGTCTCATGGTGTTGTTTATACTTTGGAAAAAGGTTTACAGTTGAGAAAAACGCATTCTTGTTTATTTTTGTAAAATTATATAAATCGTTTCATATACACATGAAAGCAGCATGTTTCCAGGAAATATAGATAAAGTTCAAAATAAATAAAAAAATTATTTAAAAAAAACGGAGCGTTTACTCAGACATGATTATCCACAAATAGAACCTTTGGAATATATATATATATATATATATATATATATATATATATATATATATATAAACGCACACATCATATATATATATATATATTCTATCATCCACAGAGAGAATGTTTCGCTCATCAGGCATATGATTGCCTCAAGCCTGCATCGAAACCCGATTGATTTGGTATCAATCGGAGATTTTTCCACAAAGTTCTAAAAGGCTACAGGAAGTTCTATGAATTTCCAGAAAGCCATAGTATATTTATATACGATTTCAGAAATTTCGTGTTGGGGTGGCATTTTGTTTTAAATAAATTTAATAAAACACGTCATTATTTTTTTAAACAAAAGTTCATTGAATTACCATACAGAAAATCAATTATTTAAAAAAAATAAAATGTCATATATCTATTATCTATCTATCTATATATATATATATATATATATATATATATATATAGAGAGAGAGAGAGAGAGAGAGAGAGAGTGATTTGTTTCTTACGGCTTATCAACCATTTACAGTTTATTTCGAGCCGGGAAATATTTCTGGATTATAAGAATTTTTGAGTAATAATAATGATTTATTGATACAAGCCCTACTAATTAAATTTAATTGGCTGGAGGAGTAGGAAAGTTGGAGTCATGCCTTTCTCTAGTATATAATCGTGTAAGTGATTATAAAGAAGCCGAATAGAACTGAACTCGGCTCCCCGATTTCCAATTCCGAACAGTTTTCTATTGCACTGCCCGCACATCCATGCTTGAATCACCAGATTTTCCCAAGTGTTCGCCCATATAGGTAGTGACCAGGCTCGACGTTACTTAACTTAGATGATCTTATTAGAATCAGAGATTCAAAGTGATATTACCATAAGCCATATAGAGAAGTAGATTTTTCTGAACTTTCCCAGATGAACTGTCATAAACCACTCGAAGAAGAAGAAGAAGGACGAGGAGGAGGAAGAAGAGGGGAAGGAGAAGAAGAAAACTGAGGAGGTGGAGCAAGAGGAGACATAGAAGATAACAAGGAAGAAGAAGAAGAAGAAGAAGAAGAAGAAGAAGAAGAAGAAGGACGAGGAGGAGGAAGAAGAGGGGAAGGAGAAGAAGAAAACTGAGGAGGTGGAGCAAGAGGAGACATAGAAGATAACAAGGAAGAAGAAGAAGAAGAAGAAGAAGAAGAAGAAGGACGAGGAGGAGGAAGAAGAGGGGAAGGAGAAGAAGAAAACTGAGGAGGTGGAGCAAGAGAAGACATAGAAGAAGAAGAAGAAGAAGAAGAAGAAGAAGGACGAGGACGAGGAAGAAGATGAGGAGGAGAAGAAGAAAACTGAGGAGGTGGAGCAAGAGGAGACATAGAAGATAACAAGGAAGAAAAAGAAGAAGAAGGACGAGGAGGAGGAATAAGAGGGGGAGGAGAAGAAGAAAACTGAGGAGGTGGAGCAAGAGGAGACATAGAAGATAACAAGGAAGAAAAAAGAAGAAGAAGAACGAGGAGGAGGAATAAGAGGGGAGGAGAAGAAGAAAACTGAGGAGGTGGAAGAAAAAGGAGACATAGAAGATAACAAGGAAGAAAAAGAAGAAGGAGGAGGAGGAGGAAAAAGAGGGAAGGAGAAGAAGGAAAACTGAGGAGAAGAAGCAAGAGGAGACATAGAAGATAACAAGGAAGAAAAAAGAAGAAGAAGAACGAGGAGGAGGAATAAGAGGGGAGGAGAAGAAGAAAACTGAGGAGGTGGAGCAAGAGGAGACATAGAAGATAACAAGGAAAAAAAGAAGAAGAAGAACGAGGAGGAGGAATAAGAGGGGGAGGAGAAGAAGAAAACTGAGGAGGTGGAGCAAGAAGAGACATAGAAGATAACAAGGAAGAAAAAGAAGAAGAAGGATGAGGAGGAGGAATAAGAGGGAGAGGAGAAGAAGAAACTGAGGAGGTGGAGCAAGAGGAGACATAGAAGATAACAAGGAAGAAAAAGAAGAAGAAGGACGAGGAGGAGGAATAAGAGGGAGAGGAGAAGAAGAAAACTGAGGAGGTGGAGCAAGAGGAGACATAGAAGATAACAAGGAAGAAAAAGAAGAAGAAGGACGAGGAGGAGGAATAAGAGGGGGAGGAGAAGAAGAAAACTGAGGAGGTGGAGCAAGAGGAGACATAGAAGATAACAAGGAAGAAAAAGAAGAAGAAGGACGAGGAGGAGGAATAAGAGGGAGAGGAGAAGAAGAAAACTGAGGAGGTGGAGCAAGAGGAGACATAGAAGATAACAAGGAAGAAAAAGAAGAAGAAGGACGAGGAGGAGGAATAAGAGGGAGAGGAGAAGAAGAAAACTGAGGAGGTGGAGCAAGAGGAGACATAAGATAACAAGGAAGAAAGAAGAAGAAGAAGAAGGAAGAAGAAGAAGAAGAAAAAGAAGAAGAAGACAAGAAGAAAAAGAAGAAGAAGAAGAAGAAGAAGAAGAAGAAGAAGAAGAAGAAGAAGAAAACTGAGGAGGTGGAAGAAGATGAGACAAAGAAGATAAGTAAGAAGTAGAAGATGAAGAAGAAGGAGGAAGAGAAGGAAGAAGAGGGAAAGAAGACGTAGGTTGAATCGGAGTTGAAAGGGTCAAATTAGTTAAAAAAGAAAGTGTTGTGACGAGATTAATTCCTTATTTCCAGCAGTTCTAAACTTCATGGCTAAAACACGCCATGCTACGCACATTGTACCGAACCATGGTTAAACTCTTCGTATTCCATCGAGCATCTTCCTTCTACGGACCGTTACTTTGTTGAATCGATTTCTAAGAGGATGCAACCCCGATCACCACAATCTAAAACTGTTCAATTCGGGGACAACAGTTATCTTCCCCACATATCCGCATAGACTATGCCACTTACTCTGTAATCCTCTACCTTGAGTGGCTCTTGATTATGTATAGAGTGATAACCATTGAAAAAAAAAAACACAGCCAATATTCTCCTTTGAGAAGACTTCAGAGTTTGAACATAGATAAAATGGAGGAAATTTTATAAAATATAGCTGAAGCAACATATGAATTTGCAGAAATATTTGATATAAATCAATTAGATATAAGTATATATATATATTACTCAAGATATCAGCCGATATGGAAAGACAGATGCATTTGTGCGTGTTCCTGCATACAAAATGACGTTCTAATAAGAAAATAATAATCTCCTATTCGTCAATATTCGCCACTCATATAAAAAGTAAATTGTCGTGTGTTATTTTCTGTTTAGTTTAAAATAAAACTTTTGAACAGGAAAAATCTCAGAGTAAAAAGTCATAAAGAAATAAAAAGAAAAGAGAAAGAAAAATCCTGCTCACTTCCGCCCATACCAAACACTACACACTTTCTATCTCCTTTATCAAAAGAGGTTGACAGCGCGAATAAGTACATGTAACTTAAAACCTGTTATTTTTCCAAGTCTTGTCAAGGTGCCAATCTCTGTAGAGACGCTTTTCAATTTTGTATTTTTTTCCTAAAAAAAAAAGTAAAATAATAAAATACAGACAGGTGATCTAAAAAATATGAAAAAAAAAATCTATAAAAACTCTATAATAAATACTCAGACTGGTGCTCTCGCAAAAATAGACGTTGGTATCGGGTGACGATTTTAGCTTGGGAGGTGGTTTGCCGGAGATGTGCAACGTGCAGGCAGATATGGATCCTTACACGGTAAAAGACTAGGCGGGTCTCTGACATAAATTAGCTTACGTTTTATCTCTTTTTCTTCTACTTTTTCCAAGGAAGTAGCTACGGCTCATAAGTGTAATTTAGGCATTTATAGGTTTCCGTATTTCTTAATCGTTCGTCCTTCTAGAAGAGACAGATAGAGAAATATGAGATGGGGAAAGGAAGGAGAATCCAGAAGGAGAGGTCAAAGAAAAGATTATTAACATTCAGAAAATAAAAGGATGATGACGTTGTTCATATACAAGATGAAAATAATCAAAGAAAAAAAAAGGAAAGGTTATAAAAAGTGGGAAAAGGAAAGAAAAAAGTGTATGAGTATGTAATTGAATGATGTATTAGATAAATTGAAAAAGAAGAGATGACAATGAATGAATTTAAGAAGAAGAAGAAGAAGGAGAAGAAGAAGAAGATTTGTGGTTGTTTATCAAGTAAAATAAAAAGGAGTGACGACAGAAAGACAGGGAAAGTAAAAGAAATAAAAACAGAAAAATGAAAAGAAATTACACAATGTATTAAGCAATAAAATGGATGAAGAAATAGAAGAAAAAGTGAAAGAGGCAAAGAAAAGAAAGATAGTTGATGATAAAGAAAAAAATGAAAAAAATGAATTGAAATTAAAAAGGATAATGGAGAAGAAGAAAAGGGGAAGAGGAAGAAGAACATTGAGGAAATAAACGCTTAATGATGATGGCAAAATCATTATGACGTAAAGGCATAGTGAAGGAACAATAGCAGCAGCAGAAGAAGACGACGAAAGAGAATAAGGAAGAAGATAATGAAGTAGTTAGCAAAGAAGATGTAGGAGAAGGAAGAGACAAAGAAGTTAACAAAGAAGAAAAAAATGAAAGTGAAAAAGAAGGAGAAAATAAGATAACAAAGAAGAAGAAGGCAGAGGATTAGAAGACAGAAGTGACAAAGGAGATAACAAAGAAGAGGAAAATAAAGAGGATGAAAAAGAAATAGAAGAAGAAGAAAAAAGAGAGGAAAAGATGAAGAAGACGTGAGAGGAAGCCGAGACAAAGAAGTTAACAAAGAATACGAAAATAAAGAAATTCGGACAGAAGAAAACAAGAAGAAACAAAGAAGACGGAAGAGAAGACAAATGAGATATCAAAGGAGAAAATAAAGAAGGTGAAGAAGAAGAAGAAGAACAAGAAGAAGAAGAAGAAGAAGAAGAAGAATGAGGAGTAGGAAACAAAGGAGATAACAAAAGAAAAAGGAAAGGAAGTGAAAAAGAAGAAAAAGAAAAAGAAAGGAGAAAAAGAAAACGGAGAAAGAAGACAGAAAGTACTTAAAGAAGAATAAGAATATAATAAAAGTGAAAAAGAAAAAGAAAAGAAAAAAGATCTCAACGAAGAAGAAGGCGGAGGAGAAAACATAGCAGACAAAGAAGATAACAAAAAAGGAGGAGGTGGAGGAAGAAGAGAAAAAGAAGACGCAGGAGGGGAGTAGGAATGGAAAGGGACAATGAAATCATCAAAGAAGAAGAAAGTAAAGTAAATGAAAAGGAATATAAGAAAAAGAAGAAGAGGAAAAGAAAAATAGATTAAGATTGAGAAGGAGGAGACAAAGAAGATAACAAAGACAAAGAAAATAAAGATTACGACGAAGATGAAGAAAGAGAAAAAAAAGAAGAAAATGAAGTAGTTAACAAATAAAAATAACGCGAAGACGCAGGAGAAGGACGAGACAAAAAAAATGACAAAGAAGAAGAAAATAAAGAAAGTGAAAAAGGAGAAAAAGCAAAAGAAGAAGATAAAAAAGAAAACGAAAAAGAAAAAGAAGGCAAAAGAAGAAGATAAAAAAGAAAACGAAAAAGAAGAAGGCAAAAGAAAACAGAAGAAAATGGAGAAAACGATGACAAAGAAGACAGAAAAATCAATATAGAAAAAAAAGAGAAATTAATAAAAATAACGAATGGAACTCTAATCAAGAATATAAAATAGAAGCATTATTCGAAATCAGAATTAATAAATATCTGAAATAAATGCAAAAAGCATGATGCAAAGAAGAGAATAGAGAAAAGACAATGGGAAGGTCAAGCCCCAAAAGTAAGAAATACAAAAGGGATTAATGTCTAAAAGCCATAAACTGCGTAGTAATGTGAGGAAAGTGTACAGAATAACAGGAAAAAAGAAACGACGAAGAAAAGATATAAAATAATTTAAACTGATTAATGATAATGATTGAAAATAAATGAATGATGTCGACAAAGAAGTAATAGAGGATGTGAAAGGAGATAAAGTTGATGAAATCACGGAAAAGATTTAAAACTAAACAGAAACGGATGAGTCAATGATAAAAAATTAAAATTAAAAAGATAACGAAGAAGGTAACAGGACAAAAAATGCGCGAAAATTTAGTTAAGAACACAAAGAGAGCTGGTAACTGCTGATAATAATGACGAAATGACCGTCAATTTAGAAGAAAAGAACTAGAAGTAAAAAGTGATTATATATTAACAGTAACAGCATGGAAAAATTTAGAAAATAGGTTTGAAAGGAAAGAAAGATTATGAGGTTAAGGATGTTGAATGTTGTACATAGCGAATAAAATGGAATAGAACATTAGGAAGAAGAACAAATATGAAAGAAGATAAAGAATTTATTGATTTATTGACTTTTTACGGCTTATCGACATTTTGCAAGTTATGTAAAACCAGAAAATATTTTTGGGTTGTAAGAATATTTTGCAGATAATAATGATTTACTTATACAAATCCTTATATAATTAACCCAAAGCTGGGGAATAAATAGTGGTTCCTCACATTTCCCAAAGGTATTTGGGCGGAAATGTATATAAGGACATGACTGGAAATAGAAAATGGCTCTGCGATTTCCAATTCTGAGCCGTTATCCATTATACAACAGGTACATCAAAACTTACAGCAACTGCCATTCATAAGCAGTCACCCATTTAGGTACTGACCAGGCTCGACATTGCTTCGCTGATCGTACGAGAACCGAGTTTTCAACGTGATATGGCCATAAGATTAAGTAGAAAAAACATGTTGAAGAATACAACATAGATGCTCGGAATAGAATCAATAAATTAAGAAATGAAGAAAAAGAAAAAGATTAAGCAGAGAATAAAAAAGCGCAGGATAGAAGACAAAGACATCGGTTGAGAATAATAATAATAATAATAATAATAATAACAACAACAACAACGATATGAAGAAAAAAGAAGAGGAAGAAGAAATAGCAATATCATCAACAACAACAATGAGAAGAGGAATGTGTATGATGATAAAGACAGGAATATGAAAGACGGGGAATACACGAAGAAGAAAAAAAACAAATTTAAGGAAACGAAGAAAAATGCTGAAGAAGAAGAAGAAGAAAGAAAAGAAGGAAGGATAGAAAAGAAATGAAGAACTATTATTAGTAGTGGAAGAAGAAGAAGAAGAAGAAGAAGAAGAAGAAGAAGAAGAAGAAGAAGAAGAAGAAGAAGAAAGATTAAGAAGAGTAAGAAGAGTGAACATGCAAAAGTGAAGACGAAAAATGAAAAGAAGAAGGAGAAGAATAATATCAAGAAAGAGTACGAAGAGAATAAACGAAAAAGTAGATAAAATAAGGAAGGAAAAAAGAAAGAAGAATAAAGAATTATTATTATCAGTAGTTGTAGTAGTAGACGACGACGAAGAAGAAGAAGAAGAAGAAGAAGAAGAAGAAGAAAAATGTTGATGGTGCGGGAAAGAGATGCAGGTTGATTTGACCTATTTTATTCTATTGCCAAATATAGAATTGTCTTTAGTTTCATCTACCGTAAGTAAATGCGTATGTTCCTTAGCATTAAAAGTTATGTTGAAGAAGCAGACGTCATTGGATTTTTTACTTTCACTCAGAGACATGATGGAGGTGGGGTTGGCGCGAAAAGACGGAGACTCTTTCTAACAACTAAGAATGTAGACGAAAAGGTAGTGAGCTCTGCCGGTTCTTGTGGATTTGCGGGCCAAGTGTCAATAACATCGATAAATATATATTAAAGAGACTTGGAAAGTAAAAAAAAAATGAATTATAATAATATGAAATATTCTGTACCACTAGATAGATAGATAGATAGATAGATAGATAGATAGATAGATAGATCCATCTAACTGTAAGTACATATATACATACAAAATAAAGAAAGATCGATATAAAATAGATTGGCAGATGGATAGGTGGGGACTGTCATAGATGTCAAATACATAAAAAAAACTTCATAAATCAGCGTAAAGAGAATGGAGCAGGTAATTGAGAGTCTAATATGCTGATGCACATAGGCAGGCATCAGTAAGAATTATATATATATATATATATATATATATATATATATATATATATATATATATATATATATATATATGAACAAAAATTATGTACCACAAAATTTAAATATTAAAGGACATTTAAATCCCCGGTGTCTGCCTTTCTCAGTTTCACCATTTTCTGAAGAAGTGTTGGACGCACAATGTCCATTTAAATGAATCCGTTCCGACATTTTCAAAGCCATATATATATATATTCAGTTGTACGGATATGAGTTTGTAACCCTGGGTTTCACGCTTTTGCGTACATCAAACAAACTGATTTGAATGTACAAAGGCATGTTTTTATTAAGGTGTCCGACAGCAAAATAGTATACACGTTTTCATTTGCAACATCATTAATCACTGAATAAAATTTTCAAACTATTTTTGACAATTCAATTTCGGTTATTCCCAGTACATTTCTTTTTAAAAACACAACTTTCCATTACAAGGAGAAAAGGCATAGCGTGAAGAAAAAATTGCTTATTTTGGCCTATCTTCAATCTTAGAATTCGTCAATTTCCTTTATATTTAAATGGACGCTACGACAGCACTTTCACTGCAATCAAAACTGATATTATATTTAGTAAAATGAATTGTTGCTAATACAGTTATCTGGCTAGATGGACATTATTTTCATTCTCAAATTACATATAATTGCTTTATCAGGTCTACGAACAGATATACATATAATCTGAACTCTCAGATCCGTGACCAGTGGATATATATATATATATATATATATATATATATATATATATATATATATATATATATATATATATTTATATATATATATATATATATATATATATATATATATATATATATATATATATATATATATATATAGACCATAGTACCATTACAATAATTTATTTCACCAAAATCCTTTTAAAAAGATTTCGGATCATCAGGCAACACTTCCAACAGTTTCAATTTTCATTGTTGGATGTGTTACCTGATGATCCGAAATTTTAAAAGGATTTTGGTGAAATAAATTATTGTAATGGTACCTTAAAGTGGTCTGTTTTTCATTAAATATTAGCTCTGTTCTTCACATTGAGTTTCAGGATTTCATCCTTCTTGGATTTACCAATTGGTTTACCAAGTTCTTCATAATATATATATATATATATATATATATATATATATATATATATATATATATATTCGGGTCTCTGACTGGATGTATATTTGGTCTATAACCAAATGAGCATATGCTTTCTAATCTCTAGTGTGTGGCCAGATATACATATAATAGCATTCTCATGTCTGAGCCCAGATATGCATATGATCTGCACTCTGATCTGTGACTAGATATTTGGGAAAATGGACATCCTCTAATTCTATATAATGGCAAAATTGCCATTAATTATCGTATAATATGTCAAATGCATTATGTCATTTACAAACACTAGTAGCTAGGTAAATGTTCCCGAAATGGACTGATGGGAAAAAAAAAACATGGGTTAAACAGTTATATTTCTCTTCTAGTACAAGGAGATAAAAAAATATTTTGAATTCAAGACGAAAATTTCCGGGAAAATCTTATAGCTGAAAAAAAGAAATAGGGACTTTTGAAAAGCCAAAACAAAGACATAACGCAAACAACATATGAATTTGAAGTGACACATAACAGCCCTGACTTACAGGCTTGAGGAAAACTCTAGATCCCAGGAAAACGTTATGGACTTGAACATCAGTTAACATTTTCATACGGCTTTCACTTCTTTCTCTGATTCGAAAACGTTTTTTTGACACTTGCATTTAGAAAGGAATTCATAACCAGAAGCGAAAATGAAGAAAGTAGTGAAAAGAAAAAAAAAGAGAGCTTTGAAAATATCAAAGTAACATCAAATAAAAGGAGAAAATCTTTTGTGGTTGTCTCAAGAACAACAAATTTATATTCTGTAAGAACACTGTGAAAAAAGGGCTAATTTTTATTTCTGGGCGAAGACATCGACAGTTGAAAATGATGCCCGACAAACATCCGTATCTGTCTAGCAAATGAAAAGAAAGTAACTAGAATATTTTCAGAGATTTCTTATTTAGTTGGCATGACTTTCTGTCTGTAGATTGTTATCGGCAAGTGAAATGTATTTGAAAGTTTCCTGGAAGTACAACTGGAAGCGAAACCGGAATTATTCATTTATGTCAGACGACAGATTTTACTTGGAAACGGGCCTCATCTTATTAAAAAAAAAAAAAAAAATTAATTGACAAATGATGCAATTAATTTTGGTTCATAAAATAACTGGCGTCAGTTTAGCATATATATATATATATATATATATATATATATATATATATATATATATTCATTTTGGATGGACATGAGTTTGTGACACTGGGTTTCACGCTTTTGCGATCATCGGACAAACTGCCTGATGATCGCAAAAGCATGAAACCCACGGTCACGGACACATATCCATACAGATGAATATGTTAGATGTATCACTAATATTGACCGCTTTCCACTAAATACTGCACATAAAATAATGATAATACTACGACTACTACAACTACTACTATATATATATATATATATATATATATATATATATATATATATATATATATATATATATATACAGGTATGTGATGGAGTAGGTTTAATTAGGTACCGTTTGTGATAACCACTGCGCAATCCACTCCGCCAGAAATTTGCAAACGGCATGCTAGATTGTTTCGCGTTCGCGCCGGGAGATCCAATACGAATATTTCAGAGTATTTTGGGTGCAGAGGATTCTAAAAGTGAGGGATGAGTCTAATGGTGATTACGAAGTTACTGCACTTCGGAAAACACATTCTGATCGTTCTGATAAGAAAAAGTACATTCGAATTTGTTAGTGAGGGCCTCAGACTGAAAAAGGGAGGCCTACATCAAGTGCCTTGAGGCAGTAGTGCTACCCAGGATCAAGAGGGTGGCTGATAGAAGAACCTACGTATAATAACAGGACTCTGCAATATGCCACACATGCAGGAGATCCCGGTCAATGCTGTCAGACTATTTCTGCGACCACATCACATCTTACCTCTAGCCACCTTACTCCACAGTTTGCAACACACTTGATTATTATGTGCGGGACGCAGTTAAGAAAGAGAGGCCAACTAAACTCATTATAACACCAAAGATGAACTGGATTCGATGATTATGGCAGATTCACCAACTTAAAGAAGGATACCACCCAGAAGATTTGTGTGAGTAGTCTGGAGTCTGTATTTGAAACGATTTTTTAAAATAAATTTAGTATATCAAGAGATTTGTGTAATTTTTCTAAATATATAATTTAAAATGAGATTATGGAATTAACACATTAATTCCATCTATATTTTACGCACGCGCGAGTTTCCTCCCTTCCTTTCACACTCGTGCGTGTGTGCGCGCGGTTTGCACCCCTTCCTTCCTCTCACAGCTAGACGTCTGGAGGAAGAACTTCGCTAGCTCCAACTGATGAAGTCAGACTAACAGATTTTGAATTTTTTCCCGCGCGTTTTTCGGCGTCTCAAACGAACAGCGTTTGCAAACCAGTTGTTTCCCGGTCCTCAACCTGAGTAGACGGGCAACTCATTTATTCCGTGCCCTTAACCCATATGCGGGCCGGAATATCTTATTTCAACAATGGCGACCTCACACTTTACCAAGACTTCTTCTCGTCTTGATGCTACCCGCAGGTCAGACCTTCTCCGTTTTCGATCAGAAGACGTTCGAGACACACGACACAGTCGTGAGCAAAACTTCGTATTCAACAAGTGGTTTATTTTTATCCCTCGTCAGTCAAACTTGAAATACAGACAGGGATATCTTATTGACGAACAAACTTGCTACCCGCAGGTTAGACCTTCTCCGTTTTCGACCAGAAGACGTTCGAGACACACGACACAGTCGTGGGTAAAACTTCGTATTCAACAGGTGACTTACATTTATCCCTCGTCAGTCAATAGTAAATACAGACAGGGATATCTTACTGACGAACAGATATTCTTCGTCCCTTCTGGACTCGCCATAATTAACTTCTCATAGACGATGCAACCAACCGCAACTAGCTCTTCGTCCTTTTGGCTAGACGTCCACAGCATTCCGTTAAAATTTTCAACAATTAATTCAAGACCTGATCGAACTCTGAGACCCTACTTTGAACCTGAACATAAAAAAGAAAAAACACAAAATCACATACACTCTCAATTCATTGGACTCTAATCTGCTTTGAACCAGTACCTTAAAAATATGCATAACATTACTCTCAACGCCCCCCCCCAAAATCCACAGTGAGTACTCCTTTCTATCTGTGCGCACCTATACCTCTGTTAACGAGTTCCTTTTTCCAGAACCTTATAAAACCCTTTTCCCGCCTTGTTCATCTTGCATTTCTATTTAGGCGCGGAACTTTTCCTTGATCTCGTACCACGAGATAATCTACTTGTTTCCATCTAATAAAAGTTACATATGTTTTACAGCACAGACGTCTTTGTCATTTTATTCCAGCTATCTCTTTGATGTTCATTAATTTATGCACTTGTTGATTGACACCTTTCCTCTCACTGTTCATTCACGCATTTTTTTTTTATACATTGCTTGTGGACTCGGTAGTTTAGTGTGGTGTCTGGCACAAGGCCACTTCGTAATAAACCAGTACTACACGCTGCCGGGTCCGCAACAAGATGTCAGTGTTATTTTCATTTTTGCGCAACTTAGACAGTATTTTATCCATCGCAACCTGAATATATATGTAGTCATCAATTCTTCTTTTTTTCATGATTCATTGAAAGGGACGAACACTTTTCTAAGTCTTCTGTA